CCTACAATACTTTTCCAGCTACCAGCAGACTTGCAGCTTAGAGACTTCCCAAGGTTTGTCTGTGGGTCACATCAAAATGCCTGTAATGCCCATTACCTTTTCATGGATCCTTCTTTCATGAAGAGCTACAAGTTCTAGGCAAAGACATCCATAATTTTAAGGTACACAGTGTGGAAAAAAATATGTCCTTTTGGTTATGTTAAGCCTGCTTCCTGATAATATGACTGGGTGCTACCAGTTGAGAAAACCAGTATTTCCCATTCAACTTCTCCATGCCATCTTTTATGTTCTCTCAGTCATCTTTAATACCATTACGAGGACTTTCCAGTCTCTCTGAAGAGACTCTGAACTCTCCAAATGTATTTCTATTGCATCCTTTTTGATATTAAAATGAGAAGAAACAAATGAAAGAGAGAGGCATAAGCACACCATAGTAAACAGAAACATTGTATTGTTCCATGCACTCCTTTCTAACTCCTCACACTTCCTCAGGAATACTTAGAATCTCTTCCTCAAGCACAGATACTACTTTTAACATCAGTTAAAACATATCAATAGTTAAAAGGTGACTTCTCTACCTCCTACATACATTTATCAACACAATTTTCTCTAGGTTCATATCATCTCACAACAGCTACCTTGTTGCATCTGTTTGAAGTGGCACATACAGCTCCCCTCCTCCAGCCACGATGGTGAGTCTTCATTCATCCCCATTTTACTGAATAAAATCTATTTTCCACTTTTGAGAAATGCCATGGGCTGCACTTGGTCTCATTGACTAACACTGCAGTTCAGCTCAGACTACTTGAATGTAGAACAGTTTTATCTTTTTCCTTTATCATCTGTCCCAGAATAAACAGTTTAAAATTCTTACTCTCTTTTGAGCTTTGACAGTCAGATCACCGTAATTTGGCATGTTCTGCCAGCTTAAATTAACAGCCATAAGAGGATCCATTGCAACTGCCCAGGCACATACTGGTAGACTGCTAGGCTGTGCAAAGGCTGCTGCAAGCACATCATAATTTAAATTAGTATGTTTGTGCTTAATCTGATTAAAGTTACCTAAATTTCCAACAAACCAAGAGCACGCACAGCAGTGACTGCTGTGGCCCTGTTGTGATACAGCAGTCACACCAACTTGATGTTGCCCATGAGCTTTCTAAGCAACACTAACCATATTTTTTTTGTTCTCAAAGATTTCAACTTCTTTCCATAACAAGCAGTATGTGGAAGAATGACTTTTCTCATATTTAGAGATTATCCTTCCCATGATCAGCATGAGGAGGAAGGTCTGCTGCTTCTCTGTGGGAACTGACACTAAAATGAACATCTCCCTAAAACTAGCTCTTACTCTCTTCTCCATCCTTGCCTAAAGAGATAGTACTGCCCCTCCTTTTTTTGCAGTATTTATGTATCCCAAAGCTAAACAGTCAAGGAAATAAACCCTGTTACATTACTGTGGCAAAACATAACTGGATACAACTGTAAGTCTGATAGGTAGTGAAATTACAAACAGTATTCTTAAATCAGAAGATTGGTACATAGTAGGCTTTAATCTTAAAATAGTATATTTCTCATTTGCCTAATATAAAATTGGGTTTACAGACAGAAGCCATTTCTGCATTGAAATTTCACTTTTCCTATTGGTACTGGAGACAAAGGTTTTCCCTGATAAGTCATAACATCAGCAATTCCCATGAAGCAGCTAACCCATCTGGAAACTCATAGGTACACAGAAAAAAAAAATAAAATCAAGGTGGGAGCTCATTCAGGGCTCTCACAATTGACCTTCAGCAGCAGTTAAAGTCATCAAACTTAACTAGAAGTAACAAACAGCTGGGTTGAGAGGCAAAACCAGGTACTTTCCTCAGAGTCTCTCCAAATACCTGTCTGGCTCTTCAGCAACCAGCTTTGAAGCTGTGGTTAAATTTAAAATTTTGCAAACATTATTGTGCTTTAATAACAGAACACAGAAAAAAAAAGAGCTTCTGAAAAATAACAGCTTTAAGCAAAAAAAATACAGGAAGAGCCCTAAAATTAAAGGACATATTTATGGAAAATAGTTTACTGTGAAATATTCTTTGTAGTTTGTATGCTGTATAATACCCGCCTTCCAAAAATGTGTGAACAAATGGCTTTAAGTTTTACTTTCCAGCATATTCAGAAACAGGCTGCTTTCGCAGTTCTCAGGTACTAACAGGTCTGTCTTCTCCTTTCTCAGTCATATCAGTATTTGCACCAAACTGCAACAACGCTTAGAGAAGTGAGAAGTTCTACTTATCATGCAGTCACTCCACACACTTTATATCTAGAAGTTCAGAAGTCCACAAGAAAAGTACACAACTGAAAGGTTTTAATTCCAACCTCCATCTGAAAAACCCTACTACCAGAAGATAATCCAAGACAGTCCAGAGGACAAAGAAAAAAGTACTGAAAAAGAAGCTGGTCACTCTCACTATTAAGAGCTGTAAGAGCACGGAATCTGTTAATGGGGAATAAGAACTATTTGACACTAAAACATCTAAGTCTGCAACCACTCTGAGTAGAAGTGGTTCTACTGAACATACAAATCTTCAGCAAACTTAATACGGAAAAGCTATTTGAGTTTCTTCTGGAGGAAATCTAGTATACAAAACATTGCGCTCACACGCAGTCCTTTTCAGTTAGTCAAAGCCCATGTAGTTTGCACTAGTCAAAACCAACAAACCTAAGATTCATGTTGCTGTGTGACTTACCCGGACGAGCGCATCATCTATGATGTGATCGCGTCTCACTTTAAGTCGCAAATACGGGTTGAGCTGCTGTCCTTGAACTAAGCTGTAGAGCACAGTTATGCGTCTTTCACTGTACATCCGGATTCTATTGTCATAATACAATCCCAGGTTCTTGGTAACAGCATTCAATATGAAGGGACAGGTCATAAAAGAGAATTTATTTTCTGTTTCTACTTTGAAGAAAGTGTAGTCCTTGTCCATTTCTAGAACATCATTCAGTGGTTCATTAATAAATTCTTCAAAAGGGATAAGTGGTTTTCTGCAATCTATAGTTTTAACACCAAGTTCAGTTTCCAATGGGTCCACTCGAGGACCTTTTTTATTTCTTCTTTCCTCACCCAACAGCTCTTGAAGAGTTAGTTCACTTGATTCTGGGATGGGTTCTTCATCTTCCTCTTCATTATGATCTGTATCCACATCCCCTCCAACTACATTTGCATAGTAAACCATTTTCAAGCACTTTGAAGCAGCAACAACAGCATCATCATCATTCACTAGGTTACGACTATTGAACTCGTTGCTTATGACTTTGTAAGTAATAAGCTGCTGAAATGTTTCCATCATTCTCCGAATTTGGTCTGCCCTGTACTTAGACCACAATCTGACCAGTTTTGCTTGAGCTGCAAGGGGTAGTTTGCTCATTGCTTTGCAAAACAATGGTAGAGCCATTTCCAGATATTCTGGGCTATGAAGATTGCCATTCTCCATAACGATAATAAACAAATTCAGATAGTTAGGATCCCGAGAATACACATTATGGTAAGTCAAGTCACATTCCACATTAGGTGATAAGTACACAAGTGCATTTAAAAAGGCAGTTTCTATTTTTTCATTAGAAAGTAATCTATCATAGACCCGTCTGACTGCTTCAATATCTACAGACACTTCATCCGGGCCTAGTTTTTGGAGGTTATTATCTCCTTGTGTGTTATCACCTATTCTTGACGATGAAGATGACGATGCGCCTGAATCTTCTTCCATAGCAGCAGCCGAGCAGGCAGCTTTTTCCTTTTCATCTTCATCTTTGTCTTCATCCTTTCCTTGAAGGGACTTGAGCTCCTCCTTTGTGTGCTGCTTGGCCTTTCGGAAACTCTGTACCAATGCTTCAGCACTAGAAAATACTCTCCCAATCACCCGGATTAAAGGGGAATAATCCTCTTTCTCTCGACATAGTTCAAGAATTTCATATATCTTGTCTTCTGTTAGAAAAGTCACATCTATAAAGAGATAAAGTATTAGTTATATTAAGGTAAAAATTTAAACGACAAAATACTTCTAATTTGCTCTACTCAAGAAATCTGCGTATCGTATCATCATCAACACTGAAAAAAACCAGTGTCAGTGCTGGATAAATCCAAGACAGATACTTTATAATTTCATTAGCATGAAGAATGATTTCATTCACTATGATTTTGTAAACTATTTTATTCATGGATGTAGATCAGAGAACACAATGGTAAAACTGCTTTGCAGCCAATTAACTACTTTTGGTAATTAACAGTATTGTTTTGGTTGCTCTTGTTTTAAACAATACAATCAGTAACAAATTTAAACTTTAGAAAACTTAATGAATAAGACCGTGACAATACAGTATTCTGGTAAATCTGCACAGTTAACATGTGAGTCGCTAAACCATACACAAAATAAACTGTATCACCCTCTTTTTTCAAACATAGCACATGCATATGGACCTCACACACTC